CATCTGACCACATGACCTTCTCCCATGCCTCCTCTGGATCATCCAGATGGTCTTTGGCAAACTTCAAACAGGCCTGGACATGTGCTGTCTTGAGCAGAGGGACTTTGCGTGCGCTGCAGCATTTTAAGCTATGACGGTGTAGTTTGTTACTAATGGTAACTGTTGAGACTGCGGTCCCAGCTCTCTTCAGGTCATTGACCAGGTCCTCCTGTGTAGTTCTAGGCTGATCCCTCACCTTTCTCAGGATCATTGATACTCCACGAGGCGAGATCTTGCATGGAGCCCCAGTCCGAGGGGGACTGACAGCCATCCTGAATTTCTTCCATTGTCTAATAATTGCACCAACAGTTGTTGCCTTCTCACCGAGCTGTTTGTCTAGTGTCCTGTAGCCCATCCCAGCCTTGTGCAGGTCTACAATTTTGTCCCTAGTGTCCTTAGACAGCTCTTTGGTCTTGCCCATAGTGGAGAAGTTGGAGTCTGATAGATTATGTGAACAGGTGTCTTTTATACAGGTAACGAGTTCAAACAGGTGTAATTAATACAGGCAATGAGTGGAGGATAGGAGGGCTTCTTAAGGACAAACAAACAGGTCTGTGAGAGCCAGAATTTTTGCTGGTTGGTAGGTGATCAAATACTTATTTCATGCAATAAAATCATGCAAAAAAATGGAAATAAATTATTTAAAAATCTAACAATGTGATTTACTGGAATTTTTTTGTGTAGATTCTGTCTCTCACAGTTGAGGTGTACCTACTATGAAAATTACAGAACTGTTCATTCTCTGTAAGTGGGAAAACTTGGAAAATCAGCGGTGTATCAAATACTTATTTGCCCCACTCTACATTGTTGGGATGCTGATAAACTCTGCATCATATTTCACCTATTCTGATAACAAGACTTTTGCATGTCATGTAAGATTTTTAGGTTATGAGCTTTTTTACAATTTGAAACTGTTATGAAAACAGAGCCAAAACCATTGTAAGAATAATGTATGTAGTGTATTCTAAAATCATTTTATTATATATTTTAGCATTTAAAACTGAGCCATTCATATGATTAAAAATCCTGAGAATATTTATGATAGCAAAAAAATAAAAAAAATGTCATGCAGGTAAATGTCCTCAATATGGTCTCTAAAAAGCACACAGGAAGATTAACAAAGTTCCATTTATTTTCAAAAATAGATACATAAATACAATTCTGAGTAAATATTTGTACAAATAATGAGCCTAAGGCACTACAAAATAAAGGTCTGAGAATCAGGGTATAAACAACAGCTGCAAACATCTGTGCATCTGTTTCTGATACGGAGTAAAACTTGATTTCAAAGTAGTCTCACCATGGGTGCAGGTATTCTAATGCAATGTACTGCACACGCACAGATCTTTAACCAACCTCACCCGTGGTCTAGATCAATGTGCAACACAAGCAACAAGTTTCTGAGTATCACATATCTGTTGGTCAGAGTACAGAGCGATATTTACATGCAAACATGAGCCACACAGCACATGCGTTCTCTGGATAGACAAACACCCGAACACGGACAGCCAGCCTCACATGGTCGCCACGACAACACACTATTTCCTCACAGAATGGAGACCTGCAAAAAGTGACAGTGTATTAAATATGAAGCACTGCACATTTTCTAAATTAATATAATCAAATACAGCAGTAAAAAATATTCTTCCATAAAACCAATACTTGTACTTTTGACAAGCTCAGACAGACAAAACTGATGCCGGTGTTCATTAACCCTTACAGGCAGATTCTTAGATAAGCTGAACTTGTACACAATTAAGCCAGGGGAGGGATGGCATGACTTTTGCTATATTATCTGTAAAGCAAATATTTGTCTGATTCATACATGATAGCCTGTATGTGTGTTACTAAGGGATTACTTATCTGATATTTATCTGCTACTAGCCTATTTCTCATAGTGCTCAGTACTTACCTACCTGTTAATTATAGTAATTGAGTAAGAGTTCTGGTGACATCATTCACCTGTAAGGTATTTTACTGGTTATCTGTATTCACTTGATGCCCTCCATTTTCGGGACTGAGCCAATAAACCTGACCTAAAATGTATACTCTGTCAGAGTCACTGTTTGTACATGACAGACTGTTGAGCTGTCATTACTTTACTAATGCAACAAAACTCATTTTTCATTTTGCAATGAACATTATAATACATGTATATCAGGGCAGGCTGTATATTTGGTAAATATTACAAATTACTCCTATTTAATTGTCTTTCAACTGTCTGTTTAATGTGACAATTTTGGTCCAATTAAGACAGTGAGCATGCCTGTGGAAAAAGAACCAAGGCAAAGTATGAACCTAAACATGAATTTTGAAAATCATCACATCCCTAGTCAGGATGAAGTTATTTCCCTTGAGCAACTGGTTAAGGGATTTACTAAACACACATACAGTGCCTTGCGAAAGTATTCGGCCCCCTTGAACTTTGCGCCCTTTTGCCACATTTCAGGCTTCAAACATAAAGATATAAAACTGTAATTTTTTGTGAAGAATCAACAACAAGTGGGACACAATCATGAAGTGGAATGAAATTTATTGGATATTTCAAACTTTTTTAACAAATAAAAAACTGAAAAATTGGGCGTGCAAAATTATTCAGCCCCTTTACTTTCAGTGCAGCAAACTCACTCCAGAAGTTCAGTGAGGATCTCTGAATGATCCAATGTTGACCTAAATGACTAATGATGATAAATAGAATCCACCTGTGTGTAATCAAGTCTCCATATAAATGCACCTGCACTGTGATAGTCTCAGAGCTCCGTTTAAAGCGCAGAGAGCATCATGAAGAACAAAGAACACACCAGGCAGGTCAGAAGACTGATCAGAGATGCAGCCAAGAGGCCCATGATCACTCTGGATGAACTGCAGAGATCTACAGCTGAGGTGGGAGACTCTGTCCATAGGACAACAATCAGTCGTATACTGCACAAATCTGGCCTTTATGGAAGAGTGGCAAGAAGAAAGCCATTTCTTAAAGATATCCATAAAAAGTGTCGTTTAAAGTTTGCCACAAGCCACCTGGGAGACACACCAAACATGTGGAAGAAGGTGCTCTGGTCAGATGAAACCAAAATCGAACTTTTTGGCAACAATGCAAAATGTTATGTTTGGCGTAAAAGCAACACAGCTCATCACCCTGAACACACCATCCCCACTGTCAAACATGGTGGTGGCAGCATCCTGGTTTGGGCCTGCTTTTCTTCAGCAGGGACAGGGAAGGTGGTTAAAATTGATGGGAAGATGGATGGAGCCAAATACAGGACCATTCTGGAAGGAAACCTGATGGAGTCTGCAAAAGACCTGAGACTGGGACGGAGATTTGTCTTCCAACAAGACAATGATCCAAAACATAAAGCAAAATCTACAATGGAATGGTTCACAAATAAACATATCCAGGTGTTAGAATGGCCAAGTCAAAGTCCAGACCTGAATCCAATCGAGAATCTGTGGAAAGAACTGAAAACTGCTGTTCACAAACGCTCTCTATCCAACCTCACTGAGCTCGAGCTGTTTTGCAAGGCGGAATGGGCAAAAATTTCAGTCTCTTGATGTGCAAAACTGATAGAGACATACCCCAAGTGACTTACAGCTGTAATCGCAGCAAAAGGTGGCGCTACAAAGTATTAACTTAAGGGGGCTGAATAATTTTGCACGGCCAATTTTTCAGTTTTTTATTTGTTAAAAACGTTTGAAATATCCAATAAATTTCGTTCTACTTCATGATTGTGTCCCACTTGTTGTTGATTCTTCACAAAAAATTACAGTTTTATATCTTTATGTTTGAAGCCTGAAATGTGGCAAAAGGTCGCAAAGTTCAAGGGGGCCGAATACTTTCGCAAGGCACTGTATACCCTGCTGCTTATACAGTAGCTTTCAGACCCCTTCACATTTAAAGCCCCTTCCAAACATGATACCTAGGAGTTTTTGGGCTACATGTAGCGTGTAGCAGATGTTTTCTTTTTTTGGTGTTTGGACATAGAGATGCCGTGTGCAAAATTCCCAGCAAGACTTGATGTAGCTGGACACAACCACAAGGTTCAAGCAATAGCCAATGTCATGTGAGGCAGACAGTGTTATTCCACTGCAGTCTGCACTGAGGATAAGCAGTGCTTTGAGTTCAGTGACGGCCCAATTTCCAGCTATTCTGCGCCAGCTCACGCTGCTAAAGTGTATCTTCTCTGGGACCTTTCAGAGTAAACTTTGTACTGGCTAGTGGTATTAGGTCCTTTATCTTTATGCCCAAATTTCACTGCCTGCCTGAAATACTGTATACGCCACAAAAAGAGAGTGGTCAAGTGAGGTACAGAGTGAATGAAGAGAGGAAGCAGTATTAGTGAGAACAAAGCAGTGAAACAGAGAACATGTGGTGCATTATGTGTATAGTGATGGCAAAAATGGGAAATTTTATCCATTTAAATCTACAACAATAACATTTGCAAACAGTAAAGAAGTCTGAATACATTCTGAAGCCACTGTAGTACATTCAGAAATGCATCTTACCTGAGGCAAGTGGCAAAAGCTCTACGAGCATTGCAGTGCAGGAAGTGGATAGGGAAACCTTTGAAGGTGTGCCCGTCCGGCACTGCCCTCCTTACTGCATCCTGAAACTCCTCGTTACCACAGGAGACACCAGTACAGCGCTCCAGCTCATAGGCTGATAAGGCAGAGGAGAGCAGGTAGGACAGGTGGTCATCCCAGACCGTTGCCAGCTCCAGGTCCTAGAGGAGAGTCAAACACAGAGCCCATACTCAAAGGATCAGTTCACTCAAATCATCAAAAACTTTGTGGTGTTCAGTGGTATCTAGCTATGCCCAGGTTTGTGACAAATACACAAACAGACAAATACACTTTAGAACACAGTATAATATTTAAACAAATATAAACTATTAACCCTGAGTGTTTCACCCAAACCTGCAATGTTCAATACAACATGCTCTTATTTAATTTAATCAAATTTAGAATTTTTTTTTCCAATAAGACACTTGGGCCACTGGGGGGCTATCTGAACAATAGTGGACTCTTGTCACTGTGCTTGTAGCTGTCTTCCTAAACACACATGGTTGAGTAGTAAATCATCTAAAACTTGAACTGTTCAACTGTGTGTTTTACCTTCCTGTGCTCAGAGATCAGGAAGCGCATCTCCAGCTCCAGCTGGTTGCTGGCAGCAGCAGGATCCAGAGAAGGGGCACAAAGTGGAGGCAGAGGTGGCAAAGAGGTGGTGGAGACCAGGGCACAGACAGACTCCAGAGCCTCACTGCTCATGGCCTTCCACTGAGACTGATTCTGAAGGAGGACAAAGAAAGGAAACAGTGGCATTTAGCTGATGCTGCCACCTAGGGTTACTTTTTTCATTTACACAGCTGAACCAGTGCACTGTAGCTGCTGGAGATCCGATGCCTTGCTTTAGAGTAACATGACAGGACAGGGGCTGCTGATAAATGGAACTGTTGCAGAGTCAATTTCCCTGCCCACATATTGGTCCCTGGTCTGATGACTGAAAGTGGCAACCATTCAGTCACAAGCCCCCTGCTCTGAGCTCCAGGCTACTGCTGCCCTCTGTCTGCTACTGTTCATCCGATTAGATCTCCTCTGGCCAATCTGATATGCAGCATGAATGAAGATTTTCATATTGAAACTCATTTCACCAAGCCCTGAGCTTCACTTTTAATACAATACTTGTCAATGACAGAAAGGTGAACAGCATAATATGTCAGTGGATGTTTTTTCAAGATCTGTGAAATATGAGTAAAATTTCTATCATCAGAGTGACGGTTCCCACCTCACCTACTCAGTGATGAAGGTAGGGGGACTGTGACACCATGCTCCTACCTGGAAGTCAAAGACACAAAGCTCCACAGCATCGGACGGCTGGCAGTTAGCCAGAAAGGTCTGGTGGTTAAAGACACAGCCCACAGTGCGGTAGGGGGAGGAGGGTTTGGGCTGCGGGGCCAGGGGTGGGGCATCTGGGTCTATAGCCTGGTGGAGGTATCTGACCGCATGTAAGGACGAGAAGCACACTCAGTCCCATTACACACATACTAATAAATTGATGGATGGATTAAAATGACACATGATGCACAATTTCAAATGTATCTATATAAATAGATGAGTTAAAATAATGTTAGATAGTATTTACAAATACTCTAGGTCATACTATTTAATAGCATTTATTAACTGTATTGATAAAACAGAGGGAAAAGAGCTTGAAAAGGTTCCAGTTACCACTCACTGGATTCTAAGGTATCCTGCTGACAAACACACAGACTGTCTGATGAGCTAACTGAGGCAAGTTCAAAAGATGCCTTTGGCTGTGTTCAGTTTTAGCAGTCACAGTAAAACACAGAGTAGTACATTTTGGAGGATCACAGATTATCATTAATATGCTGCATTTCCTGCGTCCAATATGCTTTTACCTTTCCAAGAGCAACATTGTAGAAACTGTAGAAAACAGTAAAAGCAGGTATATTACATGACCTATCTGCTGTTAAGCTGTGCCAGAATAAGCCAGATCCAGCACCTCTCAAATTGTGACCAGCATCTATTTTCATCAGCCCGGCACCTCATTTACACATGAAAGAAATTGAATATATGAATAATATATAAAAAGTTTAAGTACTTTTGGTACAACTAGTCTTTTACAAAGAACTGTTAGACTAAAATTAGAATAATTAAATACACTAAAAACAGGCAGTTAAGCTAATTACATCACAACGCAACCTGTCCACAGAGGTCACACTGGGTCAGATGCACATTCAGTGTAACATTATGTTAGCCACAGAGCGAAAATGCGAAAAAGAAGTAGCAGCAGAGCAAAGCTAGTCAGAAATCAAAGGCTAAACAGGCCAAGCTGGACCCAGTTTTAAAGCCTGAAACTGTTAATGAAAAGGTCAGGACAAGCCAGTCTGAATAACATGAAAGAGGACTCCTGCCCCATGAGTGTGTTATGGGCCGTTTTAAATAACTGAAGGTAAGAACATGTTTATTTAACATTACTGCGTTATATAGTCTCTGGTGTGTTTTTAATTTGGCACTGTAATATTCTGAATATAATAACATAATAATAATGTTAATGCGTAGTGGAGTAATAAGGCCTCAAACATGACGTCACACTTGCTAATGACTGAACGGATTAGAGGCCGTGCCCTCACAGTTGCTAGTCACTATAAACACACAACAAAGATGTTTTGCCTCTAAGCTGCTCCCTTAATGTGGAAACTATGCAAACGTACAAATTAAGCACTGCTTATCTGGTGTGTGTATAACAACAACACCAACAACAAAACAAACCTGTGTGCTGTCAGGCTCTCCCAGAAGGTAATACTACCATCAGTACCGCGGGTCAGGACCCAGGTGTGTGGCAATCCCTTGGCTTTTGTGCCCACACATACGTATGCATCCAGGCCAAAGCCCAGCAGGAGGCTACACAGCAGGGTGGCATGATCCTCACAGTCCCCCTGGGAAGGATACACAATGATGTGTTCAGCCCTTCTGAGAAGTAAAATATGAAAACTACATTATCAGTACTATGTCAGAAATGTTTTAGGAGGATACACCTATACTTAACCCTGCACCTGTCAAGCTGCAATAGATTCTTTTAATCCTGGTGAAACCTCTTAAGGAAATTGGGTTCTTGAACCTCTGCCTTTTACTGAGGATCAGTGTTCTGGTTGAAAAATAACTTTATTCTTAAAATAGTACAACCCTATCATCTATTACAACCCAGGTTTCACAAATATATGGCAACATTTATCTTAAAATGTTTATGACCACATACATAACTCTTGAAATGTTCCAGCATTGTTCTCAAAATATTACACCTTTTGTTCCACAAAATATTACAACCTCATCCTCTAAATATTACAGCCTGATTTATAAATTACAGGAAATTCTTACTACTTATTTCCAAAATATTGTGACCTTATCTATTGTGACAGTATGACTGCTCATAAAAATATTACAACTTTATTCTGGAAATACTGAAACTTTATCTTCAAAAACAGTAACTTCATTCTCCAAATAATATAACTTTATTTCCAAAATATTATAACTTATATCATGAATTATTTCTTCCTCAAAATCTCAGATTTTTTAACTTAACAGTGATCCTAATACATCACTGTAAAAATGTTCTTGAAATATTTCATGTTTGTCTTTGTCGTTTAAGCCTTTACTGACACTCTGCTGGAATCTCAAACAAAATGAGCAGATGTTAATAATATAAGTGAAAAAACTGTTTAGTTGTGACCTCTGTTTCAGCACAAATTCAGAATTTAAAGTGTAATGCCATGGAGTTTAATCCTGGCGTATTCTAATTGGCCATATTTAGACGAATTTACTGCCGTCTCCACACTATACCTGTTGCCTGCTTAATTCACTGCTTCACTACAACAATCACTTAAACTAGAAATACAATATCCTGTCCTCACTGCCCTATTAGCTTTTCTCAGAAGTGTTGATCACATCTGTTGAACAGGAAATAAGTTCTATAGACATCTAATTGTCTATGACGGTAAGCAAGCCGTATTTTCACTTGAACAAATTTTCTAGTAAAGAGGAGTGGGCTGAGCAAGGGACTGCTGCTAGTGCTGTGTGCTGGCTTGGGCTACAGGCAAGTCAGATTGATAGATGTTCCCCAGAAGTGCTAATATGGATGGGGACAGATGAGGCTAAATTAATTTTCCTTGGAATGAAACTCATAAATCACAACTGACAAGGGCCACTTTGTGAGAGTTGTGTTGTGTCTCTCTTGCCAGCTGAGAGGCAGGAAACATTTATCCTGTGGCAGTCTGGGAAATGCTGCACTATTTAACTGAGAGATGAAAATGCATCAGTCAGTCAACTGTGCACAAATCGTTCTTTCTCAGAAATGACACAATCGGCTGTACTCAGAAAAGGAGTCAGTGTAAACACATCTGAGCTAAGTTCATGGGGTGCTTTCTGGTTTATGGAACAACGCCTTCCTTTTAAAGGCCACAGAAATTCAAAACATAAATCTGTGTCGGAAGGCCCAGACTAAGCTTAAACGGGTTTG